GGGGTGCTGCATTCAGGGCCGGGTGGCACTGGGCAGGGCGTGGGGATGCCCCCCCCCGACCCCATCACGGTCCCCCCCACAGCAAACTGCCGAGCTGGGCACGGGCGGTGACCCCCCGCATCTTCTACATCACGGAGAAAGCCTGGAACTACTACCCCTACACCATCACTGGTGAGCACTGGGTAGGGCGTGGGGACGGGCACCACCGGGCCACCTGCCCCTCTCCGGTGGTGGCCACAGGCTGCCAGGAGAGCCCGGCCGTGGCCACTTCCCAGTCTCACCCCTCCCTCTCTCCTCCGTGATGCCACCCGGTGATGCCACCCGGTGATGCCACCCCGTGATGCCACGGTGTCCCTGCAGAGTACACGGTAAGGAGGTGGCATGGGGGGACCTGGCATGACCAGAGAGAGGGGGTACTGGAGTGGGTTGGACCCTGGGGGTGGGTGGCCCTTGGGGTCAGCATCTTTGGGGCTGGGGGTCCCTTGGGGTGGGGGTCCCTGGGGTGCATTTCGCTTGGGGCTGGGTGTCTCCTGGGGCTGGGCATCCCTTGGAGTGGGGGTTCCTCAGGGTGGGTGTCCTTGGCACTGGATCCCTTGGAGATCAGCATCCTTGGGACTGATCCTTGGGACATTCTTGGGTGCCCCTTGGGGTGGGAGTCCACTGGGGTGGGCATCCCTAGGGGCTGGGCATCCCTTAGGGTGGGCATCCCTTGGAGTGGGTGTCCTTGGCACTGGATCCCTTGGGGCTCAGCATCCTTGGGGCTGAGTGTCCCTTGGGAGTGGGTGTCCCTTGGGGTAGGCGTCCATCAGGGTGGGCATCCCTTGGAGTCAGTGTCCTTGGGGTGGAAGTCCCTTGGGGTGGGTGACCTTGGCACTGGACATTCCTTGGGGATCAGCATCCTTGGGACTGGGTGTCCCTTGGGGTGGGTGTTCACTGGGGTGGGCATCCCTAGGGGCTGGGGATCCCTTGGGGTGGACATCCCTTGGGGTGGCTGTCCCTTGGGAGTGGGTGTCCCTCGGGATGGGTGTCCCTCGGGACGGGCACCCCTTGGTGCCAGCTGACGGCCACTCCTTGCAGTGCTCCTTCCTGCCCAAGTTCTCCATCTACATCGAGACCAAGTACGAGGACAACTGCGGGGACAGCGAGAACGTGAGTCTGCGCCGCAGCTGAGACCTGGCAAACTCATCACAGGGCGGTGGTGGTGGTGGGGAGACGACACACACTACATACACGTGCGTGGCTGGCACCTCTCACCCTCCCTGCCCCCCTTTTCCCCCCCCCCCAGATCTTCCACAGCGATAAAATCCTGGGTGACCACGAGGTCTCCTTCCTGGACATCGCCTTCGACGAGATCCCCGAGCGGTACTACCGCAGCCTGGAGGTAGCACAGACAGGGATGGGAGAAGCTTCCTGGGGCAGGGGGGGGCATCTC